TTCAAAATATACAATGAATGATTTAGTATGAGTGCATGAATTTTTAAAAAGTCAAATAGTTCATACATTTCTTTGAATCAGAAAATTTACATGTGAACATTGAGAATGAGCTATTATCATAGTCAATGAAAAGGAATCAGAATCAGAATCACTGCTCCTCTGATCTGTGCCAGAATCAGAGGAGCAGTGGTGTAGTGATGCAACTGGGGGATGCAAGGGAGCAGCAATTACAGTCCCTGCTACTAATATCCGTTTTTTTTTTTTTTTTTTAGCAATTGAAATTTGTTTATATGTAAGTGTAAAAGTAAACCAAAGCCATTCATGGCATTAGTGTAAATTTAGACTATAGAACCATAATTTTTGTAATATAATAAAATAGAGTGAGTTATTACTTTAAACAGGAGTAATAAAATTGCAGCCAAACTCCATGAATTAACAGAGATTTAAACTAAATATTTTAAATTTTTAAATAAATAATAAATAACCAATAATATTTGTCCCCAAAACATTAAATTTTCAAATTTCCTGAGTTTTTCCCCCATTTGTTTTTATTTATATGAAACTAATAATTCAAACTTGTGTGTTTTGTTCAGTGATTTCATATGATTATTATTTATATAATAGATTTGATTGCTGTAAACCAATCATATACAACAACATATATACTACAGCTTAATTTTGTGTATTTTTGTGTTGCAGTTTTATTCAAACAACATTCCATATCTCTTCATTTTTTTAGTTGAACCCTTCTTGTTAAATTCCTGGCTGCACTAATGCAGACAGTCATTATTATTCTTTCTATGCATCTTAATTCTAAAACCAGAAGACTGATAATTTCTTAAATATTTTAAGTAAATGTAGTCCTAAAATTAAATAAAATTTCATATATTTCTTGGCTGAAAAGTTATAAATTTTTTTGATGAATTATTTTAGTATATTAATGATTAGAGAAAAATTAAAAATAATTATATTTTTCAAACAATTCAACATAATTTAAAGTTTATTTCATCATTCCATTTATTTTTTTTTGTAACAATCAACCAATTATATAACAAATACATAATTATTACAATTGCATAGCATCAATTCTTGATTAAATAATAAAATAATTCATTTATTGAAAAACTATTAATGATAAATGATTAAACATGAACTTCTTTATTTAATGTTAAATTACAAATGAGAGGAATTTTTGGAAAAAATTTGTGACTTTCGTTAAATTATTATTATTAAAGATAATAAATTTTAGCAATATACATCAAATTATATTAAACCAATTAATATATTAAAAATAAATGAATTTTATTGGTTATTTTAATATATTTTTACCTTTTTTTTATTTCAATACAAAAAATTTCTTATTTCAACATAAAAATATTTTTTAAAAACAAATATATTATTTGCACAATTTTGGATGGCCTTTAAATATTTAAAATGTTTTATTCTTTTCTATATTTAATTTTTATCAAAAAAATAAAATAGCATTTATATTTTTATAACATTTATTTAGATAATATTTAGTTTATTGGAACTCTTTCACTTTCATATTTAAATGGAACTTATTACAATAATAAAATAATTATTAATAAATATATTTTTTAACATTTAATATTTAAATCAAAATATTTTAATAATAAACAATTTATGTATTTTTTTTTATAAAAGTAACAACAACAACATAAATATAGTATTTTCACTCTTTGTAAAATTAAATCTTTTTTTCTCCCTCTTTTCTTTATGACATTCTGGCCAAGTGTCAATATTGGCAAACTTGTATTTGTGATATATAGAAATACTAAAGTCTTTATTTACATTCTGACCTATTCATTATTATTTATAACAATTTTAATTAACTACCCCATCATATGATATGAAATTATGAAAAATTTATGACCATGTACTGTACTACTGTATATACTTTTTTAATCTAAGAATATCATTAATCTTAAGAAAGATCACATGACCTACAATATTATATAAGGTAAATACTTACCAAATATAATAATGTTCATAAATACATATACTGTAGTGCAGATTGTGAAAGATATGTTTTTATTTTATAAACTGGGTAGTTTATCCAAATTTTTGGTTTTATTTTGTTTTTTTTTAAACTCATTTACTTTTTATATCAAATTAATCATTTCAATATATTATAGAGAAAATATTTGAATTAAATAATGACACACATTACAGTATTGGAATTTTTGTGCTTATAAAAAATTTAATTTTTTTTGGATAGAAATAGATTTTCATGAACACAATAAGTATACAGATGTGTATTTTTCAGTTAAAATTTTTTTTCATGGAGGAATTTACTATGCAGGAAATAATTCTTAACTCTACATTGTATATCTTTTTTTCATTTGATTGACAAAAAAGCACAAAAAATTGTACTGTATTATATTATATTAAATTAATAAGTACTTAATTCAGAAATAACCAAGAATGTATATATATATATAGTCTGGAAATTATTTTTTCACTCTGGAAAAGATTGGTTCGGTCCCATAAATATTGTGGTTAAGCTGCTACATAATTAAATATTTATAGAAGCTATTATATTCTGTTCAAACAACACAGAATTATTATGGTTATTTCATAAAAACATTATTTTACAATTTTTTTAATTAAAAATTTCAATACACTTCAGAAAATATGAATTTTTCAGTTTATATCACTACTTTTAAAATAATTTTTAATTGAATTCTCACTTAAAAAAATTAAATATTATCAATTCTCCTGAAGGACTATAAAAAATAAACAATTCTTGAGCAATCACAAATAAAGAATGTTAGAATGGTTACTTTAATTTGTAGATGATATTTTTAATCTGGAGTAAATGCTATTCCAATTACTATTAATTTACCATCTTGCAGACTTGCTAATATATGTGTATTTCCTGGAGTAACACTTACTGCTAAGATGGGTATATGCAATGATAATGATGTGGCAGATTTCAACCTGTTGAGAAAAGTTATATTTTTATCAATGTATTTTTAATTTAATTTAATAATACTTTAATAACTAGTTTTCTGATAATTAAAATATGCTTTCATGCTCAATTTCTTATGCAGACATTATCTTCCTCTTATATATTAAATTTCTGTTGTAATGATACTAATATTAATTTTATAAATTTGAAATTAAATTACTAATTTTTGTGTACAAAATAATTGTGTATTTTACTCTATAATTAAATCCATGTTTTGTGATAGCTCTATTTTAAATAAATCACAATAGTAAATTTAAACAATTTTAATACTTTTTAGATGAGAATGTTTTTCAAGGCTCATCTAAAAAGACCAATATATTAGTTAAGAATAAAATATTCATAAAATATTTTTTTTATACACTTCCAAATCTCAATGTAGATAAAAATTAAATAGCATGATTACAAGGCAATATGTATATATGGTGCATAGTACAATCCTAAGATACTACTTTAGAATGAAGATAACTAGAGTTATGGAAGTGAGATACTGATATGGAAAAGTATACACTTGACAGATCAGACCATCAGTAGTCCCTAGTGTTAAAAATTGGAAGTTAGCATTCTTATCTCAAAAGCTACAAGAGATAATAGTTGCTTGTTTTTATTCTGTTTTTATGACATTGTCACAATGCTGGGCTACAATTTTTAATCATATTTTTAAATTATTTAATTTAAAATAAATGCTTGCCACTTCAAATTAATACTGTAGTATTTTGCCCCTGTACATCATATTTTTCTGTTAGCAATGGACTTGTGTTGGTATCTATCTAATCCTTTCAAGTGAAAATTTTTGAATTGAAATAACATGACTTCTGGTTTGCATAAAAAGTTCACATATAGTTAATTGGGACCTCCTGCCCCTAAGCTAACCATATCTGGTCTTGAATTTCATTTATCTTTCTTGAGATTAAGGAAAGATGGACAGACAGCAACAGTGGGAATTTATAAGTCTATCATTTTTTCAAATTGCAGCTCAATAAATAAGAAAATTACAGTGCATCACTAAATTAGTAGGGAATGACATTTCACAAAAATGAATAATATGAATACAAAACTGAGATACATTTGCATATCTATACTGTTGGGTTGCCCTTTGAGAATGAGCTACAATACTGCTAGTCTCTCTTAGTTGTCAAATAGCTGTCTTAGCTGTTCATGCAGCTTTCCTAGCATTTCATCCACATTTGCTGTATAGCAGCACCATCTCATAATACTCTTTATGTATAGCTTGTGATCTTTTGTTGTTCGTTGTTTGTTGCTGTAATCTTTTGTTAGTTTTTTGAAGCATATCATGTCTTCTGTTAACTGATGATTGATTGCACATTGCCAGACCTGAGCTTTTATTTGCAGGAGGGAAGTGTCACATCACAGCCATCTTTTGCATATTAGAGTGTACTGTTCATATATAAATTTAGCATCATGTATAGAGTTTCCAGCCTTTATTTGTATCATCTGTTTCTATGAAATGTCATTTCCTACTAATTTGTTAACGCTCTGCAACTTTCTCATTTACTTTTTTTTTTGTATCTCTCACAGTCAGAGATAGTAATGCTAATTTTCTAATTTTATTTGCTAAGGGTGCTACCATCAGGCACATGATCATTTTACTATACCAATACAGTCGACCCCCCTATAACACTGTTGATTATTCTGTTTTATATGAATTCCATGTTGTATGAGTCACTTAGATTTTACAAATATGTGTGTCGTTCACAGCCTGACACACATATTTGTAAAATCTAAGTGACTCATACAACATGGAATTCATATAAAACGGAATAATCAACAGTGTTATGGGGGGTCGACTGTACCTCACTTCCATAGCTTTAGATATCTTCATTCAAAAAGTTATTTAAATGACTTAAGACTATTGTGCACCCTGCATGAGTTTTCATTTAAAACACTATTTTAAAATTTAATTTTATCAATGAATATACTTATGTTTACAATATGATAATAGTTAGAATAGGTCTAATCATGTTCTCACTACTTTCAAATTACTTGTTCAAAATTATGAAATTCCCCATTTTGTACTCCTTACACCATATAAGCTACATTATACATTACCTGATATGGAATTGTGTTTAAAGAATTAAATAAAAACAAAAAAATAAGCCTTTATAATAGATTTAGTGAGATAAGACCATCATGTTGATGGTCTTCAATAAATACAGGGTGTCCCACACGGGAGTACAACTTTAAAAATGCAAATTACTCACGAACACATGCATGTATCATCATGCAACAAGGTTCAAAATATTCCTTATTTAATGAAGAATTCATTAGAATGATCAGAAGATCGGAGTGTGGTGCGTGATTTCTTGTTCTCGGATCATTGATCCAATTTTCTTTGACGAGACTGTGAACACTGACCAATACTCATCCATATTTGATGAATTTGTGAAACAACTGGACAACTATGAATTTCAAGAAGGTTACTTTCAACAGGATGGGGCAACGTGCCATACCTCTCATGCCAGTATGGAAGAGATCCAATCATTTTTTGGAGACAAGGTGATCTCAAAAGGTTTGGGGCCACCTCAATCACCCGATTTAACTCACTCAGATTTTTTTATATGGGAATATTTAAAGGGCAAGGTGTATGCAAGCAAACCCAGGACCATTGAACAACTGAAAGCAAACATTGAGTATGAAATTGCTGCCGTCAACAGTGACATGTTGCAGAGGACATTCTCAAATATGGAGCATCACATTTTCTTGTGCACGGACATTGGGAGAGGACATTTTCAGCACCTTTTATAATGTGGACTTGTTTTCCACTAAATACAAGTATGTTCAGTTCTTACAGCTTGCCTTTACGTTCACACGTTCGTGAGTAATTCACATTTTTAAAGTTGTACTCCCGAGTGGGACACCCTGTAGATTAGAAAAAACTGGGATTGAATAAGTTAGTAACAGAAATGATGTAAGTTTTCAAATAAAAAATAAGGAAATTATTTCTTAAGCAAAGAAATAAAATAATGAAAGTAAAAATTTTATTTTGCCTCAAACTATATCTTAATTCTGTGCAATTAACTCATTGATTATCTGTAAAAAAGTGTGTGAGTGCAGGTGTAGGTTACCTATTGGTTTTTAAACTTGTAATTTGTTACAAACTGCTCAAACAGCTTTTTCATTTTTAAGAACATCTTTAGAAAACACGGAAAATCCTTTGTTTGCTGCCATTGCAATTTTTCCAGAAATCACCAAAAGCACATATGCATTTGCCATGCCTTTAGTCTACTCCCATTCATGCTCTATGTATCAATTTATGTTTTAATTGTTAATAGAACCTACTTTTTTAAATCAGACAGAAAAAAGTTTAATACAGTGAAATTATTATTGGATTCAATATAGGTAGTTAAACTTGGATCTTGAAAGATGATAAGTTTCCAGTAGTTTTCTTCTCTCTATGACTCTCAAAGAACAATTTAAAAACCACCTGTTAATTAAAGATTTCAAGGACTTCTAACTCTCTTAATTAATTAATTAAAGTGGACAAGAATGGTCACTACATCAATTTTAAAGAAGAAAAATGCATATCTCATGCTTGGCTAGCACATTATGATTTAAATTTATGATTAATTACATAATTTGTCTATCAGCATTGAATTGGTACATTCAGATTTGAATTATTCCTTGTTTGAATCAGATAGTGCCTGACAAAGATTTTAGGTGTAAACTGAAAACATTCTATTTCTAGTACATTTGATCCAGTACAGCTGTAGTTAAGTATAGATGTGTATTATTGCATGACCTGTTCCAGTGAATGCAATAATACAGGCTGTCCTCATGCCTTTGGAGCAGCCTATTGATTGTATACAGTTTAGAAGATACCATCTTAGATATTAAAATGTTTTTCTATTATACTTTCTTGCAGATGTAATTATAAAATAAGTGAAGCAAAAAAACTGTAAATAAATTTTTTAATCTTTCACTAGGCATGTAATTTTATTATTTCATTTCTGTTTTATTATAATGAAGTATATAATAATAATAACAAACATCAGATAAGTTAAATATAAAATAAATCAAAAAGATAATAAATGTTAATGTCCACAATATTCAATGACAGGTTGGAAGGTGAACTGCTCATTTTTTATTCACCGAGGCAAACTTAAACTTAGTTGAAATAGATATTCATGCATTCCCTAGTGAATGTAGAATGTGAAAATGATTTATTTTTGAATAGCAAATTTCATTTCCACTGCCATTTCACAAAATGAGAACAGCTAAATGACTTATCATACACAAACCATAGCAAACATCATTAAAACATGTTAGCTGATAACAGCAAATTGTTTTTTTATGTTTATTTTTCAATTTATTATTTGAAAACAAAATTTCAAAATCAATTATAATAGGAAAAATATAATTTATAATTATATTCTTACAATCTTGTCACATTTAAATCTCTTTCTTATATCTAAAAATTCATTGTTCTGATCAGTGGTAAATGTTTTTTCACTAATGGTAAAGTTTAATGCATAAAATATGATTGTGATTCACAAAACAGAAAAATTCACCAAAAAAGATGTCATTAGTGTTAATATTCACCTTCTTTCAGGTATTCATCAATTTTCTGGAACGTTTATAATCGTTCTATAATCGAACCAATATACAATAACAAATTTGAATTTAAAACGGTTCAAACATTTGGTCAAAAAATAAAAATATATAAAAATATTTATAACAATGTCTGAAGTGTTATCAATTTAATACACCTAAGTACTCAATGAAGACTAAATGTAGTTGAAAACAAAAAATTGCATCTAAAATAGTACAGTAGAAGCCTTTCTTCAGGTTAAGCCTTAATCCTTTCCCTTTCTCTTTAAGAAGGGATTTTTGGAAATTCCCTCCCCACAGAATTTCCAAAAATCCCTTCTTAGTGTGCATTCTCATGGCATACCCTAACTGTGTACCAAATTTCATCTCTTTAGGTTAAGCGGTTTGCTCTGGGCAATGATGAATCAATCAGTCAGTCAGGACAAGTAATTTTATATATTTAGATTATGATGACAATTATCACATCAAACAACCATCAAAGTTGTCTGAAATATCATCATTATGTAAGAGGATGATAATTATGAGAAATTTATCAGCTTTCACAATACAAATTAAAATAGGAGTGTCAAATAATATCAATTAAAGCATGAATTGAACAGACTAAACATGGTTTTTGAAAAATTGTGCTGGCAGATGAATATATGTCCATGGCATACAAAAGATTTTTCACATTTTTTAAATATGCTCTTAGTGACTTTAGACAAACAAAAGCTGTTTGATAAGTTCATAACTGCAATTTAAAGTCAGCAATATAATATATTTTCAAATTGCCTTTTAAACACAAATGGGTTATCCACACATTATATTATTTATATTCTTGAAAAAATCCTATTGCAAATAAGAAAGAGAAATTATATTAAATATATTTAAGAAAATTAAAAAGTTACCCATAAATTTCAAAAACATTTAACATTCCACTTGAATCACCAGTAACCAAATAATTTCCAGAGATGCACATTCCTATAATAGATGAAGACAGCTCTCGATGACAGAGATATTTTCCATTTATAGTAAAAACATGAAGCATTCCATATTTCTAAAATAAAATTAATTTTTTGTATTAAATTATATAGAAAAGTTTAAATTGCAAATATTAGAAGTGTAAAAAAATTAAGTAGTTTTTTATTTTCTAAACACATATGACTAAGCATTATAAACATAAGAATATACTTCAGCAAAATGTTTTAATTTCTGAAGTATGTATTGATACCAAATTCTTTGATATTTGTTCTGTACATTTAATTAGAAACGTCAGAGATGACTGTATTCCACTCCCCTAATAACAAAAAAATGATCCCCAATAAAATAAAATAATATTACAAAATATAAAAGATATAACAGACATAAAATAAAAAAAATTATAAATAAAGTAAAACAACAGTTACATTATATATTATATAAACTACATTTACATTTATTTTTAAAAAAATTAAAATCACGATATAGGTAAGGTTCAACAGGCTGTATGTGAGATGCTATACGGTAAAAAAACGATCTTTGTGAAAGAGAAAGGCGAAAAAATGGGATGAAGAAGCATGATGTATTACAGGTTCTTACAGTAGGGATGCGGAGACCTAGCCAGTAATTTAAAATTAGATCATAGAAGTATTTAAAGCAGAGAATGCAGTCAAAATATTTTAAACGATCAGAAAGATTTGGAAGACCAAGGTGAACTCTTGCCACATTGTAGTTGTCAGTAAAGGGTAAATTGCAAAATTTGTTTATCAGAAAACAAACTTTATTTAATTCAGATTGTATTTTTTGAATCAGATAAGGGGCAGCCATGGCCCAGACTGGTAAACAATAATTGACTATTGATTGAAAATTAGTAAAGAAAATTGTTCTGAGTACGGTCTTTGAAGAGATATTTTTGCAAAAACGCCAGATAAAGCCACGTCTAATTGCAAAATAATGTAAGAGATATGATCATGGAATATTAATTTTTCATCAAATATGATACCAAGGCCACGATGAGACTGGACATAGTTTATTTTAGAAGAATCAATAAATATGGAAGGATGGTAGGGATTGCGAAGTAGAGAAAAACACATAATGACAGTTTTATGGATGTTGATTTTTAGATTATAACTGGCAAGATTAGAACGTAAAGAATTGACAGTGATCTGAAGGGAGGAAGGATCATTGGATAAAATTTTGATGTCATCGGCGTAGGCAATTACTTTAGAGTGGTGGTTGGTTAGTAATTTATCTATATAAGCTGAGAAAAAAAGCATGCTTAGTACAGATCCTTGAGGTATGCCACAGATAGGAGAAAAAGGGAAGAAATCAAAGTCACCAATGTGAATCTTACATAGTCTGGATAAATAGTAATTGTTTAACCAACAGTAAAGAGCGGGATCTAAATAAAAATAATTACTTAGAGTCTGAAGTAGTAATTTAGGAATGATAGAATCAAAGGCTTGGGAGATGTCAATATAAATTATGTAGGTNTCATTGGATAAAATTTTGATGTCATTGGCATAGGCAATTACTTTAGAGTGGGGGTTGATTAGTAATTTATCTATATAAGCTGAGAAAAAAAGCATGCTTAGTATAGATCCTTGAGGTATGCCACAGATAGGAGAGAAAGAGAAAAAATCAAAGTCACCAATGTGAATCTTACATAGTCTGGATAAATGGTAATTGTTTAACCAACAGTAAAGAGCAGGATCTAAATCAAAATAATCAATTAGAGTCTGAAGTAGTAATTTAGGAATGATAGAGTCAAAGGGCTTTGGAAATGTCAATATAAATTATGTAGGTGGATTTTTTGTTCTCAAAATTTTGCAAAATAGTATAAGTTGTTTCAAGAAGATTAGTAGTAGTAGAAAGGTTACGGATGCCAGAGTGTTGATGAGGGAGAATCTGGAGGTAATTTGGGTATAGATTTTGTTATATAAGCAAATTTCTTAATATGGCTGATAGAATAGTTATTGGTCTAAAGGAATTATCTTTTTTGGGGAGAACCTTTATATTAGAGATTAACCATTGATTTTGAATGAGACTAGAGTTTAATAAAGTTGTGAAGAGTTTGGAGAGAACAACAGCGGAATTGCCTTTAACTTTTTAAAGAATTGAGTCTGGACTATAATTCGAGTTGTTTAGGCTATCTACGGCAGACTTAAACATCGGAAAAAGAAATTAAAAAAAATTATGTTTACATTGTTGAAAGGATAGGGAATGAACCTTAGCTTCAGGTAAAATGCAAAAATATCTAGATTTAATATTATTAAATATATCATATATTTTATCGTCTGAAATAGATTTTTGTGAGGAGGTTTTTTTTTTGAAAAGTTAGGAATGAAATGCCAGAAGTACAAGGATCAGCGGCAAAGTTAGACACAGTTCTGTTAAAATATTCTAGAAAAGCAATACAATGTTCCTGGTAATAATGTTGTTGCAATATTCTATGTAAGTATAAGTCACGAGGGTTATCATAACATTTCCATTTGCTCCATTGTTTTCTGACCATATTGGATAATTTCTTTAAGTGTAGAGGAAACCATCCATTGGCAGAAGAGTTTATTTTACGGAATTGTAATAATTTTTTAATAGTGGCATAAAACAAGTTGTTAATTTTATCAGTAAGTTTCTGAGGAGAAATAGGCGAGTTGAGGAAGGTCCAATCAATGGAGCAAAGGATTTTTGAGGCCTCCATTCCATTGAATGAGACCCAAATTGGAATATTAATGTTTAATTAAATTGCCTCAATGTCCTTTTTTCTTATTAATATGTAAATTTTCGACTATAAATTCGTAT